CTGGTCCGGCCTAGTGCCGGTGCTCTTCCTTCCCAGGCCGGCCGATATGAAGCGTGACCAAGACGCGCCGTCTGACTCAGGGGTCCCACCACGGGTCCCGCTGCGGGGCCGGCTGGAACCTCCCCACCTCCGCCGCGGTGCACCCGGCAAACACGGTTGTGTCTCGAACCCTCCACTGTTGTCTAGCGCAGTGGTTCCCAGGCCAGGGAATATATAATTACATATATATAAAAATTAGGGCTGTCAGTCGATTAAAATATTTAATCGCATGATTGTCCATAGTTAATCGCAAATTAAAAAATTTTTTTTAGAATTAGATGTGTTCGGTGGTGGTAAGTAACAAAGTACATTTACTCAAGTACTGTACTTAAGTAAACATTTCTTTTTGGAGTATTTTCTTTTCATTTGCCTCTTCATACTTCAACTTCACTACAATTTAAAGGGAAATAAGGTAATTTTTACTTTATTCAATTTATTTTAGACATTTAGTTACTAGGTCCTTTATAAATTCAGATTTTTTTTATTCCCAACACTTAGGAGGAACTTGTGTAATATGATGCCATCCAACATTATTTAAGCACCTGAAAAAATAAGTGGGTTGACGTTGTCTTTTTGTCAAAAAAAGTTTCAGCTTCTCAAAAGTGAAGATTTGCTGCATTTATTATTTTGATTTAATACTTAAGTACATTTTCCTGTTCCAGTACTTTTCTCAATGCAGTACTTTTGTTTGTTTTTCACAATTTTTGTAGTATAAGTACTTTTATTTCAGTTCAGCCACCCATGGCTCATAGCTATATTAACAACAATGCTTTAGTCATTTTTATTCAACTATCTAGCTGCTCACAATTTTTCTGTCTCTGTGGTGGCCCAAGCCAACAGGAGCTAGCTTAAACTGCTAAAACTGGTCTTCACTTTGATGCTTGGTAATAATATAAGCTCACAAGTCAGTCTAGCTTGTACGTCGGCTAAAGTAGAAGGACTGCATGTGCAGCCTTGACAAGCCAAATGTAAAAGAGATTTAGTTACTGCAGTCAAGTACTGTCTGTATTTACAGTAAAGCAGGAGAATATCTTTATCGCTGTTGCTGTTCCAGCTTACAAGCGCTAACTAGTTACATTTACTAGCAGTTGTTGAACTAGTTAGCAGAAGAGAGGCATGTAATGAAAACACAGCTGTCATGAAAAGTGACATTATAAAATAAATCACAAAAGGGTTATGAGTTTCTATAATGAACTAAAATGATATCCACACACATCATGAGTTATACTAATCTTTTTTTTTTAATAGTTTTTATATATCCACATTTCTGGACTATGCAAATTAGTATGTTTATTATTGTTTATGACCTAGTTTTATGCCGTAAAGCAAACTCTAATGGGCAGGTCCAATAGTTAAAAATGGCGCTACAACAGTGGAAGTCTGTAAGCGTGAAACGACCGCACGCCCGATAGTGTAATGGTTCTTGAGTTTAATTTACTATCTCCAGATGAAAGAGTCTTTAAGTCGGAAGTAGATCGCTAAGAGACGTATGGAGTTGGAAGCTGTTATTCAATAAACCCTCATGAATCACCTGTGACTACATTGTCTTCATTTCAGCTATTTGGAGTCAGAGCTCAACTTCATCTTGTAGAAGTGGCCTTACAACAATGAACTTTGGATATACCCTTAACCTCAATTATTGCTTATTATTGCTTATTGATGCTGTCAAACGCAGAGTTAACTCACCCAAAGCAATGCCTCCATGTGGTGGTGCTCCTGAGTCCAGAGCCTCCAACAGGTGAGAGAGGAGACTGGGGTCCTCCTGCAGAAGACACATTCATACAACTGTTATGATGAGGAGTTCATTCAACCCATTTCCACAGGTAGTCCGAACACTGTTAAGATATATGGACAATGGCTGACCTGGAGGATACTTTTCAGGACATGAAGCTGCTCTGAGGCCTTGTGGATGCGGATGGAGCCTCCTCCGATCTCACAGCCGTTCAACACCAGGTCATAGTGCTGACCGCGCACCTGAGAGGACAGCACATAAGCCTTGATGCACCTCACATGACATATGAATATTACTTAATTAAAAAAAGAAATGAAGATTAAACCTTGTAGTGACTACCTTGTGTGGCTCTGTGTAGAGGAGGTGTATGTCCTCTGGAAGCGGAGCAGTAAACGGATGATGGGCTGACTCCAGCTTATCCGGATCCTCCTCTTTGGGCAAGAAGAGAGGGAAGTCCACAACCCACAGGAAGTGGAATGCTGAGGGGTCTCGGACTGACATGCCACGAGACTCCAGGACCTCTGCACACTGCATACGAAGTTTACCCAGCAGAGGGCGCTGAGACAGAGAGGGGGTGCAGTAAGACAGAGGAAAGACGAAGCTTAGGATGGAAGAGAAATTAACCTGTACACACTTTATAGTCAGTGTTATCCAGTGGTAGAAGTAGCAAAAATAATTTGTAAAAGTCCAAAGTGTCAGCATTCAAATAAACTGTATAAATTATACGTATTGTATAGTTTATTTTATAATTGATTTTATATTTGATTTAGATTTTTAATTAGCTAATAATCTAAATCTAAAAAATAACTAGTAACTAAAAGCTGTCAAATTAATGTAGTGGAGTAAAAAGTACAATAGTGTCTTCCAAAATGTACCTCATAATTGTACTTGAGTACAGTACTT